CCCTGAAAGAGCCTCCAGTACGGCAGCTTTGGGAAAGACAAGTAAGGAAAGGCTGCTAAAATCTCAGGGCTGGGACGAATAGAGATATTACTGGCGCCCGCTCGAGTAAATGGATGAACAACGGGATGACAGTGATACAGTGATTTTTATCTCAGGGCTGAGACCATTTAATTTGGCTACACTATTTATGGTAATCATTACTCCTACAGTAATCTGGGATAGGAAGCAACTAGAAATGAATGAGGCCTGAGTGGAGCCAACACTCTAAGCTTCCAAGAGGACAGAGATTTTGTTTTGGTATCTTACAACCAGCAGTACTCAGGTGGCCAGGCAGCACAGGGAACCATATGGACATATACTCCAGCCCTCTTGTCCTCTCCCCCACAGGACAGAGACCCGAGGCAAGGTGAGTCTTGTGAGGTCCTCACTACATCTGGAGAACAGCTCTGTGCAAGACTGGTCTTGGGACAGGAAGACTCCAATGACAGCCTTCCTATCTCCTTGCATGTCAACTGTCACTTCTGGAGCCAAAGATGGAGCCAGAAAAAGGCAGGTGTCTCTCTCTGCTGGTCAGCTCTAGTTCCTAGTCTAAACACTTCTGAGAAGACAGGAAGTACCTAGGGTGACCTTTGGACATTTTGTGGGTGGAGTTGGATGTTTATTAGAGCAGAAAGATTCCCTGATGAGTAAAGCAATGCGTATTCACAGAAGAATCAGCAGCCCAATAGCCACCGAGCATTTGCTGACTTGTGCAACTTCATAACTTACCAAAGAATGCAAGTATACTCGTAAATGGCCGAGACAGAGGAAGCACTTAGTACCCAGTGGGTGACAGTGAAACCAAAACCACAATGAGATGACAAAATCCACTTGGTTGGGAAAAAATCAATCAGTCTGGCAATACCAAGTGATGTAGAAGACACAGGACATATTGCTGAGAGGTGGGGTCAGTTATTCAATCAATCCACGTTGTCTTGTGAAGCTAGAAATGTATATTCCTACAACCCAGAACTCCACACCTAGGTAAGCTCAGGATAAGCTTCTGTATATCTCTGTCAGCAGACAAGTCCAAGAATGTCAGTGGTATTAGTGTTCATGTTCGCAACCAAATGTCCACAGATGAAATGATGAACACACACACAGAGCTGGAACGCAGTGAAAGTGCGCACTCATCAGATGAAAGGATAACAGCCATGTGGAGCTGTTTGTCATTAGCTTGTCCCTGTCCACAGTGCAATACAGTGAGAATTTAATCACAATCAAGCCTGTGTTTGGAAACTCGGTGCTCACCAGCACAAAGCAGGAGGCTCAGCATTCCTGGCACTGACATGCCACTGTCCAAGCCAAAGCTGCACATTTACCAGTGAGAGAACTGACCCCCCCACCCCCAGGATCATCTAAACTCTGCCTAGACCTCCAGAACCTGGCAACTGCTGGGCCACGCTCAGCCTCTCCTACCTGCTGTGCACACCGGCTGTCTCCGGCTCCTCTACTCCAGTCTCTGTGCACTGCCATCCCAATTTCCTTTACCCTGCTCAGATCCTTCTCACAGACATGCTTTCCAGAAGTCATCCCAAGGCTGGCGCTTATCCACTGATAGTCACTGTGTGAGTGAGCTGTGAACCCCTGAGGCAAAGCTCTTGATGTTCACTACCTGGATATCTGGCATGGTGTAGGGACATGCACAGTGCTCCATCCTCCCTGGCATAGCATGAGCCAATGCCCAGTGCTCTGTTTACCCTGACAAGGTGTAGGCACACACTTGGTGCCCCATCTATACTGGTTTGGCACAGGAAGGAAGGAAGGAAGGAAGGAAGGAAGGAAGGAAGGAAGGAAGAAGGAGAAATTGAGTAGGAAGAGGAAGAGGAGAAGGAAGAAGTGGAGGAGGAAGAGAAAGAGAAGGAGAAAGAGGAAGATAAAGAAAATTGAAAATTTGATCCAAAGAGATATGGATAGGATAAGCAGTTTATGAGACCATTCAATCCAGAGTGCTGGCTCTGGAGATGGACAGAGTACTGGTGTGCCTACGCCATGCTAGGGCAGACAGAGTACTAGGTCTGGAGGTGGAGTGCTGACCTCACAGGGCAATGCCTCTGCTCTATCTCCATTCCCTCCCTCAGAGGAGGTTGCTCTCTGAAAGCCCCTTAGAAAGATGATGATGATGATTATCATAACTTAAGGTCCTCGGCATTTGATAAGAGACCATTATTCTCCATCTGATGCTAACTGATTTTAAGTAATAAATATTGTACATGGAGGACAGTCAGGCTCTCAGTGCATGAGGCTATTAGTCCTGACCCCATGCATCCCTTCTCTTATTTCTGACCCTTCCTTTTTTTTTTTTTCTTTTTGGGTCACACCTGGAAATGCACAAGAGTTACTCCTGGCTCTGGCTCTGCACTCAGGTATTACTCCTGGCGGTGCTCAGGGGACCATGTGGGATGCTGGGAATTGAACCCAGGTTGACCATGTGCAAGGCAAATGCCCTATCCACTGTTCTATCGCTCCAGCCCCTTCCTGACCCTTCTTAATCTTCACGGTATCCCTGTTTCAGGTCTGTTTACCCAGGGTTGGACGCTGGCGAAGAGAAAAGACACAAAGTTTGCAGAAGGTGAGGACAAAGGAAGGAACTGTAGGTTCCAGACTAAAGTTTGGGTATCTGGGGGTGGGGCACACATGACAATACTCAGGGGTTACTCCTGGCTCTGCACTCAGGAATCACCCCTGATGGAGCTAGGGGACTATATGGGGTGCCAGGAATCAGCCGGGTGCAAGGCAAGTGTCCTATCCACTGTACCATCTTTCAGCCCTCATGTAAGCCTGAGTTTTTTTGTGGACCAGTGCTGCATACTGAAGCAACTGGAGGGGCACATAGGGGGTCCCTAATCCAGTTGTCAAAGAGGACAGTGATGCCTGAAGCTGGCCCTGACTGTTCTGCACAGTGTCTGCTCTCACCTCCCACACTGCCCAGTGCACTGCCTTCTTCCACACTGCCCAGTGTATCATCTCTCACCTCCCATATTGCTTGGTGCTTCATCTCCTCTCATCTGTCCAGCAGCCTTACCATGCCCCAAACCCTTCCCATGTAGTTAGTGTCATGACACTGTCCTTGTCTCTCTCTGTGATCTCTGGGTTGGAGCAGTGCATGGCGAGTGCCTTACCCTCTGTACTCTCTCTCACCCCTAAGGTTTGCTCAAGACTAAATGGCAACCGGCTCATGAGATAGTAACATTCCCAGAATCAGAGACCATGGTGCATCCCCCCTTCGTCCCGTTCCCACCCCCCCGCCCCTCCCTTCCTCCCCCCCCCCCGTGTGGAAGACAGCGCTTATGGTCCATTTGGCGCCAGGAAGCCACCAGGCTGCATTCCATATGTCCTCACATCGTCCCCCACAGGGAACAGGAGGCCAGACCAAGCGCACAGGTCCCGCTGGTCTCTGTTCCCTTTGCCGGCCCCAGACAGTTTAAAATCCTAATTAGTCTCTCCCAGACCGCAGCTTGGCTCCAGCCTCGCCAGACATTCGTAGGGAGTGTACCCCTATAAACTTTCCCTATTTATTCACTTTACTTGTCCCTGCCCCTGTGTCTGCACCAGGCGAGGTCCGCAACCTGTCAGTCCCCAGGATTACTCTCCTTTACTTAGAGCCAACTGACCCTGGCTCACAACTGCTCCTACAGAATAGCTTCACCGCAACTTCTAGGTTTGGATCACAGGCCTGCACCCCATCACCCAGCCAAGCTGACACAGAAATCTAAGCATCACAGAGGACAAAGACAGCATCACCCAACAAAGACCAACAGTCAGGCAAGACTAAATGGTGGAAGACATTCGGAGAAGAGTGAAAAGTGCATTTTCAGGGGCTGGAGCAATAGCACAGCAGGTAGGGCATTTGCCTTGCACGCGGCCAACCCGGCTTCAATTCCCAGCATCCCATATGGTCTCCTGAGCACCACCAAGAGTAAGTCCTGAGTGCATGAGCCAGAAGTAACCCCTGTACATCGCCAGGTGTGACGCAAAAAAAAAAAAAGAAAAGAAAAGTATATTTTCATCTGCTGCAGGCAGGCCCTGGGCCAGATTCGGGAGAGCAGAGCATGCAGAGTGTAGACCCAGGCCTGCAGCTGAGGCGGGGGTGGGGGCAGACTCCCCATTGTGAGATGCACATAGAATGCTCAGCCCTGGCTGGTCTCCTGCCCATCCTCGCCCCACCCTCCTAGTAGGGGTGTGGTGGAGAGGGGCTGCCTTGGAGCCATTGGACGCCCTCGGGAACCTCCTCAGCCGCCAGCACCAGGCGACAAGTTCTCCGCACTGCCAGCAATGAAGACATTGCCCAGCTCTTGGAGCCCGATGAGGAATGCGGTCATGGACTCTTGAAGGACTGTTAGGAAACTTCAAGGGTCCAGAGAACACAGACACAATAAGGAGCTGTGCTGAGGGATTCAGAAGAGGAGAATGTGAGCCACCAGAACTGGGACGTTCACGCTCCAAGGCGCGCCAAGGCTGGTAGTCAGAGAAAAGCTCTGGGTGCCTGGGGTAGGAGGCAGGCATGGCCCGATGTCAAGGAGTCCAGCATGGAATGTCCCCAGGAGAAGCTGACAGACAAGAACAGCCTGGCCCGGAAGGCAGGCGACAGGCTGCATCCCCCGCACCAGCAGACCCGTCACTGGCTGTGAGGTGAGCATCAAGGAGTTGCCCGTGCAAAAAAGAGAAGGCTTGGCACTGCGGTCCTGTGGGAAGGAAGCGTCCCTCGAGAGTGAAATTGCCCCAACAGAGGGGTCTGTGTGTTGGGCCCTGAGCCAGGCCTGGACAGCTCCCAGAAAGATAAGCCCGTTCCAGCAGGAGGCCATGGAGGAGACACAGTCTCTGACCTCACAATACCCAAGGCCAGCTGAGCTGACCTTGCAAACTCTGGTGCCCTTCCCAGCCCGGGCAAGGCCCGGGGCCCTGGGCAGCCTCCAGGTGTGGTGCCCTCACAAGGGCACCCCCTTTCGTGGCCCTGGGGCATGTCTCTACTCACCAATTATGAGGGGCTGAGGCAGCAGATAGAGAGGCTGGTGAGGGAAAATGAGGAACTGAAGAAGCTGGTGCGGCTCATTCGGGAGAATCACCAGCTCAAGACGGCAATCAAGACACAGGCAGGGGCCCTGGGCATCAGCGGCTTCTCTAGTGTGCTTGGCGAGACAGTGGCCAGCTCTCCTCCACGCCAAGGTAAGGGCACAAACCCTGGGTTCAAGGAGAGTGGGAGGGCTGGGTGATGCCACACCAGGTGCTGGGGTCCCAGTGTGGGGGACGGTGGCAAAGCAAGGGAACACAGCCCCTTGGGGTGAGAGGACCATGCCTGGCTCATCTAGTCACCATCTTACCCGAGGGCAGAAGGCTCCACAGGCCACAGACTGAGTCTCCAGGCTCTGGAACTCCATGTGCGCCCATCACGCCCCTCGCCCCTCCCTCCCTTCGCCGTCACTCTCCACTCAAACGGAGGAGTCAGTTGACTATTGAACCGAGAGTCCCGGGAGGGCCTCCAGGGCCACAGCCCAGGCTTTAGAAACCAGGTGTGTGTGGAGATGATGCAGAGAGGGAGTGGCCAGAGACCGGGCAAAGAAGTTACAGGGATTTTCAGAAACATAGTCAAGTGTCTAGATGTCCTGTGAGCCTGGAGGGCAGGGGCTGGCCAGAAGCAGAGAGACACCAAAAGGCCACACGACTGAGTGTAGGTGCCAGAGAACAGTCAGCTGTGAGCACTAAAGAGAGAGAGTCCCCTGGGGGGTGGCATACTCTCAGGATGTGACAATGAGAAGCAGTTACAGGCGAGTCGGTGATGAAATGTTCGTTGCAGCCATCCCCCTCTCTCCCCCACTCCCTGCCCTCCCTGTTGCTAGAGAATGGAAGGGCTGGGTCCTTCCCAGGTAGACACCCACCCACCTGCAGGACCTGCCACAGGTCACTGCTCACCTGTACCTCCCTCTACAGCTTAGACCCTCTGCTGCTCTAGAGGGCCACAGCAGCTTCCGAGGTGCCACGTCTTTTCCACCTCCTCTTCCATGGTTCCAAGGGTGCCCTCTACCCACTCATCAACCTCACTGCTTGCTAATTGGGTTTTGGGCCACCCCTGGCAGTGCTCAGGACATACTCCCGACTTTGTGCTCAGGACCATTCCTGGCAGGCTTGAAGGACCACATGGGCCCAAATCTGTGTCAGCTTCACACAAGGGAAGTGGCTCACGTGCTCATCAGCCTCTCAAGCTCAACCTATCTCAGCTGTGCAACTGGCGGCTCCCAGACTGGCTCAGGCCCTGCTTCCCCTTCGACCTGCTTCCCCCTGCACCCACTGCATGCCCTCAGCCCTCCACAGGAAGTAGAAATCCCCTTGGAGGCACCTGCAAGCCCATGTGTCCCTGGAACCTAGTTAACTCTGCTCTAGCCTGTTTCTAACTGGGAATTTTTCCACCAGGATGCTAAGGTCCTCTGTCTGTGTCTCTGCTCTTACACCTCCTGGAACCACATCCTGTCACTCCTTTGGCTCCATCCCACAGGCTTCCAAAGCACCTTGGCCAAAGCCTAGCTCTGCTCCATACTGTCCCCCTCACTAATCACAATGATCACAAGACCATAAGCCCCTCTCTGGAAGGTTCTTCCACGAATGATACAACAGAGATTTAAAAACATACACTAGGGAGGTAAAAGGCTTAAGAAAACTCACTATTCAGGAAACTAGACTGACATCCTACTCCCGATCAAACCAAACAAGATTTCTCCTCTGCTGGATTCATGAGAGTTCTAGAACCACTTCAGGTCTTGCAACTCCTGATGGGTGCAGCTTCCAGCATTAGGAGGTGATTTCAGGAGGAGGGGAGTTCAAACAACTGAGAGTGAAGGGGAAAAAGAAGATTCAGGAAGAGGGGCAGCTTGGGCAAAAGCCTGCTTCTGGGGGGCTAGAGGAGTAAGAAACAGACCAGCACAGTTAAAGCCCAATTTCTGTATGTAGTGAGTGATACGAGTGTGATATCTGAGCCAGTCTGGGAGCCGCCAGTTGCGCAGCTGAGACAGGTTGAGCTTGAGAGGCTGATGAGCACGTGAGCCACTTCCCTTGTGTGAAGCTGACACAGATTTGGGCCCATGTGGTCCTTCAAGCCTGAGCACATATGTTGAGAACGTATGTTGTATGAATGTGTGTGGATGCAGTATGTGTGGTGTTTTAGGGGTTGCTGTGTGTGAACGTATACATAGCATGTTGGTGTTTGGACAACTGCTGTGTATGCACTAGTGTTTGTGAGTATATGGGTGTTGAGGTCAGTGAGCAGTGAATAGTGTAGCTAGAGATGGGCCGGATCACCTAGGGCTGGGAGTGGCAGGTTAAGGACCTTGAATTTCGTCCTAGGCAAGAAGACATTGGTGATTTATAACAGAGAATCAAGTTTGTGCTTGAGAAAGATCGTTCCAACTACTGTGGGAAAAAACAGATTCAATGTTGATGAGAGGTAGGGGACCCGGTCAATGGGCTCTTGCATCATCTGGTAGGAGAGGGTGGGGAGTGAGCTAGTAGAGAAGTCAATTCAAGTTCCTTTGTAGGAAAACTAACTGCTTGGATATAGGTGTGGAAAAGAGAGCCCAGAAGCTGTCTGTTCCCCCACACTGAGACCTTGGTGTTACTTCCTGATAATGCAGAGTACTCTGTGATCAGGCCTAATCAAAGTGGATCCTGTTGGTCCCTGAAAGTTGCCTCACAGGATCTTCCTCTTGCCACTTCCTCTTCTTCCTGTCCTTGTGACTGGCCTTCCTCTTAGTGTTGATTCTTTTGAACTCAACCTTTTGAACTCAACCTTCAGTTTCCTTTTCTGGGCCCACTCTCCTCATCCCTGATTCTCTAGAAGTCTAGATCTTCCTTTCACAACAGAGAGAGGAGCCAGAGAGATACTATAGTGGGTAGGAGCCAGAGAGAGACTATAGTGGGTAGGACACTTGCCTTTCACATGGTTGACTCAAATTTTATCTCCTGCACCCTCTATGGTCCCCCAGGCACCATCAGGAGTGATCTGAGTGCAGAGCCAGGAGTACCACTTGAGCACTGTTGGGTACAGCCCAAAAACCAAAAGAAAAAAGGAAAAAACAGGTCCTTTCAGGTGTTGGAGCATAGTACAATGGGTAGGGTGACCCAGGTTCTATCTCAGGCACTCCATATGGTCCCCCAAGCCCACCAGGAATAATCCCTGAGCACCGAGCCAGGAATAAGCCCTGAGCACCACTGGATGTATCCTACACACACACACACACACACACGATGTCAGAGAAGCAGGAGTGGTTACTGAAAGATAACAGAGAAAGGGACATTTCAGTGTGAGGACAGGGTGTCTGAATAAAAGAGCATGTTTTAGTGTCAGTGGGAAAAAGGAAGAAAGAGTGATTGGGAAGGTCAGGTTGGAAACAGGGAATTTCAGAGTCAGATCTTTCACTTCCCCTGTAAAAATTTCATTTTCTGAATGATGGAACTGGGAAGACAGGAAAGACTGAGAGAAACACAGGAGCCTGTCAGACTCTGTAGTGTACAGCACCTGTGGATTGTAAGGGCCCCAACCACCAACCTTCTCCAGCAGTATTTGGTGGCAGAGAGGCGAGCGAAGAGAAGGCAGACTGGTTAAACTGACAACTCAGCAAGAGTTTGGGCACATTACAGAGGAAGTGGAGACTGCTGGGCCTGTTGGGAGAAGGGAAAATAAAGAGGCCGGTATGGTAGAGATCAGTAGAGGCTCAAAGACCAGGTGGCCAAAAGTGTTCTTCCAAGCAAAGCAGAGGTAAACTGTGTGTTCAGAGTGGCCATCTGAGTGGCAGGACATCCATAAGCACTGGTTGTTGGTTCACTTCACTTCACAGGGAAGAAATAGGTGCCAAGACATTCTGGCTGTGGTCCTGTGAATGTGTCCGGGGGGTTGATGCAGTCAGGACAGAATTAGGACAGCAAGGCCTCTTGTTCCAAAGGCTTGACATTCACTGGGGCTCTGCACAGGACATGGAAAATGGCTGGTCAGAAAGAGCTGCTGGAGTAGAGGAGAAATGAGAGAAAACAGTGTTCAAGTCACAAAGATTGTAGTTCTCTGAAAGCTGGAGCCTGCCCAATCCCACACAGAAGTGGTCAGAATGGAAAACAAACAGGACAGGGCCTGGCTGACAGAAGAGCGAAGATCGTCAGGCAAATCTTGCTGTCTGGACTTTCCCCACTTCTCCCCTTTCCTCATCTCCACCTCCCCAATCCCTGGCAGCACTCAAAACCTTCTCATGGCGCTGCAGATTGGCTTCCACCCTTTCTTCATACAGCACCTTACTCTGCTCCCCACCGTGTCCTCAGGTCCTCACAGCCCACATTCCAGGGCCTGCCCTTCCATGTTCCAAGTTCAGTCTGCCCCTTCCACTCAGACCCAATTAACCTCCTCAGGACAGTACTCAACATCACCCAAATCTGGGTGATTACCCACCCACCCCCAAGACCCCTCCCAACAGAATACAGTCCTGCAGGACCCAGCTTTCAGAATACATCCTTTCAGGTCCTGTCCCTTCAGACCAATACCCTACGGTTCCAACCCCAACCCAACCCTCAGGAGCTATCACCTCAACAATGACCCCTCAGGAATTCTGTCCCCTAAGGAACCCACCTGTCTAAGGATCAGGACCTTTTTCTGTCAGGACCCCTCATCCTCAGGACCCACCTGCTCCCAGAACTCTCCCCTCTGGACTCCTCTTCCTTCTGGTCCCCTCTTTCTTCAGGACTCCCCTCTCTTCTCTCTCTCTCTCTCTCTCTCTCTCTCTCTCTCTCTCTCTCTCTCTCTCTCTCTCTGCGCAGCCACACACAGTGGCGTTCACAGCTTACTCCTGGTGGGGGCTGGAGCGATAGCACAGCGGGGAGGGCGTTTGCCTTGCACGTGGCCGACCCGGGTTAGATTCCCAGCATCCCATAGGGTCCCTGGAGCACCACCAGGAGTAATTCTTGAGTGCAAGAGCCAGGAGTAACCCCTGTGCATTGCCAGGTGTGACCCAAAAAGCAAAAAAGAAAAAAAAAAGAAAAAAACAAGCACAACTTACTCCTGGTTCTATACTCAGCAGACCCTCCTGGTGGGGCTCAGGAAATCAAATCTGGGTCAATCGCTGGGAAGGCAAGCGCCCTACCTGCTGTATTTTCACTCCATCAAAAGACCCCACTCCTTCTTATCCCTCTCCCCTAGAACC